TGAAGGTTTGTTTGGAAATTAAACTCTTTGTGAATTTTTAGCAATAGGATAATGGAATAGTGAAAAACTACGATGCTTGCCACCGTGAAAGTTCATTCCATGTATTGGACTCCTCAAATACAAGCAGACATAGGTTAAGCATTGTGTGTAATCTATGAACAATTGAGGAAAAAGAAATCAATTAATTTTAATGAACTATTACATATTAATTATAATTTGAAAGCATCTTGCTCAAATAGTGACGCAACATACTAAAAACGATGTTATCTAACGTGGTTTAAACATCTCTGGCATTGAACACCTATTGCACTAAGTAATCAAGCAAAGACATCTGAATGCAGAAAATGACAATCATAAACTAACTTTTGACTCATCGCCAAATGTTAGTACGCCGTGTACTCTCACCATGTGGCTTTTTCTTGGCGCATAGATCCATGTTATCATCTGAAGTACAAGTTTTCCTATTTATAATAACAACAACCCAACCGCATATATTATCATTTTGATACAACATATTTCATTTAAAGGAAATGCTGAAAGAGAATACTTGGAAAACGACATCTTACTTGAACGTTTCCTGCCCTGAACACGTTCTGGTTTTTTTTATTGATCTTTTGCAGGAGATGTTGCTTTTGCAAGATGTTCAGCCTTTTTCAACCAATTGATGGCAGCAAGAGCCCATTTTATCGACCCTTTGTTCTGAATTGTGCTAACATGGATCTTATATGAATTGTCAAGAAGTTCTGTCTCATAACTAACTTCCCACTTCAAGAGCGTGTTTCGTTCTTTTGTATCCATCCTCTTTACTTCAGACTTTGCTCCCCATTTTTCAACATCTTGTGATATATCTACAGACATAAAAAATGTTTCTATGGGCTCTACGGAATCATATAACTCTGATTCATCAAGCATTGACTTTGAGATTTCACGTTAAAATAACAAGCACATTATTATTAGTTTATATCCAAATTGTCATACGTGTAATTGTACTGGAAAACATTACATATTGAAAAATCTTTACGTCACGAGTAAGAATGACTCAACTTTCTTTGAGCTGTCTATTCATCTTCAATAACACCAAGGTCTGTCATTTGCTTCATCTGACCTCTTAAAACGGTTTTTCCAAGATCAAATTTAGCCTTTCTTCCTACCGTACTATAAAAATAATCCAAAAATCTCAAGATTATTTGTTTATTGCACTCAATTGATGGATTTCAATTGGAATGTTCAATACACGTGCACTTATCACAACAAATTATCCATTCTTTTGCCTCTTCCTTCAAATTGTTGCATTTCTCATCTGCAATCAAGATTTTCACAAGATTTTTCATTGATTCAACCTCTTCAATGTTGATCCCCACCTTCTTCATACCTTGACATTGATTTCTCTTACATTGTTTGGCCTGCTCTCCCTTCACTCACTCATGAATAGAATCTACAAACTATGACTTTCTCTTACAAGGATCAAGAAGCTCATCCAAATGATCAAACACAAAATTTGTAAATTCTAGAATTCTCAACATTTTCTAGTTGAGAAGGTAATTTTTGCAACCGAGTCGCATGGTCCTAATAATCACTAAAGTATCCTCCAACTCATCTTTATCCTCTCCCTTCATTCGAGAATAGAATTGCAATGTCAATGAGCTTTCAGAGACAATTAGAGCACTCTATGCAAAGATGATGATGGTAGAAGATGGAGAACAGCTGCAATGCTTACATATCCGGCCGAATTTGGCTTTGAGCTGAGTCTTGTCATTGGTGTTGGTGATATTGAAGAAGAAGTCCGGATATTCGCTTTGAGGATAAGCCGTGGGGGGAGTAGCTTTGCCAATGGCAAGAACTGTCGCTGGCCCTTCGGCCCTCTGGTCGCGGTAAGCGGTAGTTGTGCCGTTGTTGGCCATTTTTGCCACTAAATACAATTGTCAAACCCTCAGACTCAGCACTCACGACAGATTGAAATTTGGAATGCCGGATTTGTGAGTTCGTTAGTCGTCTCAACAAGCAGCAGGGATACAATGCAAACAAATCCCCGCAGACCTGGATGAGAACCGGCTGTCATGTTCGTATATATACCTTGCAAACTTACACTAAATGCTTCACTATATTATAAGTCTGATGTCATCGACAGGTGGGTGAGTTTGAGTCTTCTAAGTCACGGCATGAGGACCGCAATATCTGCATCAGACCGGTGCTGTCAAACATGACAACATTGACCAAATGGTCATGGTCAGCCACAGTCCCCCGAATTTTTTTTTGCGCTGAAATTCCTTCCTCTCTCTTCTGATCTTAGAGTAAGACTTGTCCACCGACGAGGAAGGACCTTCTCCAAAGCGAGAGACTTGGACATGTTGAACCTCCTTACTTTATAAATTGTACGAGACCGTATGTGAAGGAATGAGCAGACTCATGCTATCCACGTGAATGCATAGTAGAGAATCTGCTTCAATTGTTTGCAATGGATTATTATCTTTGAAGACAAACAAATAGACTTGCGTTGGCTTTTGAAATTTGATTCTTTCGTAAACCCGATGCATGCGAACAACTTTGCGCAACTAGTCTCGCAAGCAAAGTAAGAAAGAGTGTTAATATATACATCATCCAGAATATTCAGATAGCATATGAGAAATAATTCATTTCTTTATTTGTGAGCTGGAGAAATAATTCATTTCTCTATCCCGGTCCCCATTTGTAGGACTCTTAGATTCCTGTGTACTCGAGCGGAGTCCAGTGTCAACCCACCAAGATCTAGTCTTCATGGTCCCAGTCACAGCACCAAGAGGTCAAAAATGCAGCGAGGGCGAAGCTATATAATGTGCGGAAATTCAGAACTCTACTGCAACGCCCTACGTGGTTCTGTGTCTCGATCAGGCCCGCTCTGTCTGCTTTCTTTCTGCGGACAGCACTGTCAGAGTGAATTATCTTCCTCTCAGAGCGACAGCTTCATGCGAGCTGCGAGGCATCGGAGTCCGAGCCTTCTTTCAAACAAGCGTGGCAATGGCTCTTGCTCCACCTCATCCACACTCCTCGTCCGTGGTGACCTTCGAAGAGTCTCCACTTCCAAATCTCTTGTACAACAGCCTTGCACGATGACTCCGTTCATCATTTCAGCGCTCGGCTGAAAGGCTGGCAGACGGGCTCGACGCGATGATTCGGTAGACGATGTAGATCAGTTCAATAAGCTTCAATCCGGAGCTCTGGAGTCATGATGAGCGAAGTCTTCTCGTCCAACTTTCAGCAGATCCAAATTACCACTGCGAAGGCCGGAGAGTAAGGCACTCGGTGCAGTACTGCCTGAGCCTCATGGCGAAGAGTGCTCACGACCATAGGATCCGCTGCACTGGGCGAAAGCAGCCCAGGCCACTCCTCCCAGTGGCCGACTTGGTGCACAAATTTCACGACACCGAGGAGGTTCTGATCCAGGGATTCACGCTCATGACGGCCCAGGCCGGACGTGACAGTGGTGCTCGGACGATCGGTGCACCGAATTCTCGGGGGCTACTCGGGAATTCGGTGGTCCATCCTGCAGACGCTGCAGACATTCCTCGACAAGCGCATCGACGGGCCGCCCCGACTCCAAAGCCGCGACCGAGACCGGCAACGTCGTGACGGCGCACGACGCTCTGAAGCTCGTCTGCAACACAAGGATGGCCTGGCGGCCACGTGCTGGCGCTCGTCGCCGAGGTGGCGCTTTGCCTCGATTTGATTCGGTAACGACAGCGCGCTCATTGACGTGGCCCGCGACTGGGCCGTCCACGGTGGCAACTTCCAAGGGACGCCCATCGACGTGGCGAGGGTTAACCTGCGCCGATGTCTGGTCGCACACGCTCTCGGCGACGCGAGCAACGATCAGAGCTGCAGCATCTTCAGCCGGATCTCCGTGCTCGAGCAGCAAGTGCAGATTGAGCTCGAATTGCCGATTGCCGGAGCTCTATTGCCCTTATTCGATCTTGAGCGAGTGAGGCTATTCTATTGCTACTTATGGGTGTATAATTTTGAATACGGTTTGAAATCATTTTGATTCATACATAGAAACTGCATCCCTAAAAAAATGATTAGAAGCTGGAGACTGCGGTAATGCGGTTTATATGGAGTTTAACAAATTGGGAGCCAAATACATCCACGGTTGGATGTTGCAATTTGATTCAGTCCATGTAATGAACCACATTGCACAAGGAAATCAAAGTCAAACATAGCAATTGTGACATCTACACAGTGAGCAAGGGAGTCACCGCTGTTGGAACAGGGTTTATGTCGGTTTGAAGTAGAAGCCATAGGAGACATGAAATCCATCGGTCGGCAATCGTTGTCAGTGCGAGGGAATCTACAACAGGATTGTACGAGGAGTAGAGCGCAGAGTGAAGGTGGGAGTTGATGCAGATGCCTTCCACTATTCGAATGTAAGACAGTCACGATGACGATAACAGCGCAAGAAGTGGGAAGGAGCGATCCTTGATTGGTTACGTTTTGGTCAAATTCTCTAGTGAAAATTGTCAAATCGAAGAACACTCTTCAAATCGTGACCGAGTTAGATAATTATGTGTAAATAGAACATTTCACCTCATAAGAATACGAGCAAACTCTTTGTTATTTCAGAAAGCAGCTGAAACAACTGCACTCCTGCGATACTTTGTGTAACTTTGTCGTTCCAATGATGAAGTGGTCTGGAAACTGGAGGCGAGGTGAGTAGAGACCCAGCATAAACTTACGATGGAGGGCTCACATGATTCGGAGCAATCTTCTTCGAACTTGCAGGAGCTAGAAGTAGATTTCCTAACTGAAGCTTTGGCGATTTGTTTCCGAGTGCAGAGTTATGAATCTAAACTCAACCTACGGAAAAGACTGTGACTCGACTGAAGTACACGGGAAGCTAAGAGAGTCAATTGGACACGAAAGCAGGAGAACACAAAATCCAAAGCCAAGTACACAAGCACACTCAGAGCAACCTCCAGACGAGTTAGATGCAGCTGAGAGATAAAGCAAAATACCCAAGGCGTTCATCTGGATGACAAGACAGCGTCCAATTTAGCACCAAAGGCCAGATTACCGAGGTTCACCACTTTGAATCTTCACCAAGACTCAACTCCGAAGCTTACAAATAGAGCGCTCTTTTCTCTGCTGCTTTCATCACTCCTTTGCAGAACTGTACAATTGGGACCCCACTCTAGATCAAAGAGCCATAGCCATCCGAACACAGAAATCCCAAAACTTCCGCCCCACTAACAACTCTCAGTTGAACCCTAGGATAGGCCCATCTCGCGAATTCAAGTTCAGTTGCGGATCGAAGGCTCCAACATCCATGCTCAATACAAAGTGATCCTCACGTAACAGGCACCGCCCACTGCTGAAGAAACAGAGGCAAATCAACTCGATTGCTCCGGCCTCAGTCTAAAGGCCAAAACCGAAGTCAAATTTTCCTCTACCAGTTCCTTGCACATTACAATCGAGCGATTCCCTCACCTGCACTTCCAAACTACAACTAGATTACAATCTCACGAGAACCTTGATTACGTCCGCAAAACTTCTCCCGTCCTCCAAATCACCAAATTATGGTCAATTGCGACCAAGTGGAAAGATCGTACCACCACTCACTGAACTACTTTCGAACATGAACAAAACTAAAACTTGAGTTCTTCTAGTGAAATTGACCTATTTTTCCACACTAGAAAACATGTGAATATTGATTGGTAACATAACCTTCACAACCACTCCAAAAAAGGCTCCAGGTGAAGTTCTACTCCAAACGCTATCATCCGGCTATCAATGCATACTTTGGTGCTCTTCGGAACCCCGAAGTAGTTAAGACTGGGACACTCGATGATGTCTAATGTGGACAGGTTGGCCAGATTGCCGAACGATTCCGGGAATTTTTGGATGATGTTGCAGCCCAGCATCGTCAAGTGCGACAACTGTGAAAGCTGCCCAAAAGTATCCGGCAAGGCTTGGAGTCTCTTCATATCTTTAAGCTTCAGGACCCGCAGACTAGCGAGACGGCCGAAGCTCTCAGGCAGATCTGAGATTTTCTCTCCCTTTATTACCAGGCTTTGTAGCTGGGACAGATTTCCGAAGCTCTCAGGCAGTTTTGAGATATCACTCCATCTTATTATCAGGCTTTGTAGTTGGGACAGATTTCCGAAGCTCTCAGGCAGTTTTGAGATATCACACTCACCTATTACCAGGCTTTGTAGCTGGGACAGATTTCCGAAGCTCTCAGGCAGTTTTGAGATTTTATTCGCCACTATTACCAGGCTTTGTAGCTGGGACAGATTTCCGAAGCTCTCAGGCAGTTTTGAGATATCACTCCCACGTATCTCCAGGCTTTGTAGCTGGGACAGATTTCCGAAGCTCTCACGCAGTTCTGAGATTTTACTCCACCATATTGTCAGGGTTTGTAGCTGGGACAGATTTCCGAAGCTCTCAGGCAGTTCTGAGATTGGACTCTCATGTATTTCCAGGCTTTGTAGCTGGGACAGATTTCCAAAGCTCTCAGGCAGTTTTGAGATTTCATTCTCCCATAGTGACAGGGTTTGTAGCTGGGACAGATTTCCGAAGCTCTCAGGCAGTTCTGAGATTGGACTCTCAAGTATTACCAGGCTTTGTAGCTGGGACAGATTTCCGAAGCTCTCAGGCAGTTTTGAGAAATCATTCCCACTTATTACCAGGCTTTGTAGCTGGGACAGATTTCCGAAGCTCTCAGGCAGTTTTGAGATATGACTCCCAAGTATTGTCAGGCTTTCTAGCTTGAACAGATTTCCGAAGCTCTCAGGCAGTTTTGAGAAATCATTCCCACTTAGATCCAGGATTTGTAGCTGGGACAGATTTCCGAAGCTCTCAGGCAGTTTTGAGATATGACTCCCAACTATTGTCAGGCTTTCTAGCTTGAACAGATTTCCGAAGCTGTCCGGCAATGCTTCCAACCTCCGACACCAATGAAGTTCCAAAGATCGCAGTTGTGAGAGCCCTCCAAAAGCTTCGGGGAGTGAACAAATCTCGCACGAAGTAAATGTAAGATGACAAAGCCTGGAAAGTTGTCCGAATGCTTCGGGAAGACATTGGAAGAGGCAGCCTGCGAATTTCATAACTTCAAGGTTTTGAAAGTCACTGACGGTTGTTGGCAAACATGTGAGCGGTGCCGTCAAGTCCAGAACAGCCAAACTTCTCGCGAGCCCTCGGTCTACCAGGTTATGAAGATTGTTCACTTCTCCACGGAGTCGAAGAAGGGTCAGATTCTTTGGAAGCTTGCCACCTACTTCATTCAACATCAACTCCTTGGAATCCAAATATTTCAGCTTCTTCATCTGGCCAATATCTCTCGAGTCGAGGAGCATCGAGTGTTCAAGTCGTAGCGCTATGACCTCCTGCACCAAAACACCCAGGGCCTAGTTCACATCCCAGGCCACAAATTATAGTCCATGATCTAAACTTGACCTACCAGACTTGTAGCATGTCATTTGATCAAGGCCATCGAGTCTTCAGGTTCAAAGTCAATGCCATTCTTAACACAAAAGTCCAAATTGAGTGAAGAGGAGCATCCGTTATAGATCACAGGCCAGGTATTTGACAACTAGACGCTTCTCGTTTCAAAGTCCAGATAGGGTCAGGATGAGCAAACCCAGTAACGCGGTGAGAGACTATATAACGTGATGAATATACCGACAACAAGACAAAGAGAGAAAGTGCGCTATCAATGACATAATGAAAGTAAAGTTGTTTGATCCCTAAGGGAATTTCTAGGAGTAGCAAAACCAGTGCGTTGATTGTTTTGAATTACGTTTAAGAAGGAAAGGCTGTGACTTTATAAAATTATATTGCTGATTTCTCACAGAAGCACGGTGACTGACAATGAAGTGCTTCGAAAAAACATTTATGAAGGAAAGGCAGAGGATCTACTCTGACAATTTCTTGGGTTCAAGAATGTAGTACGATGACCAACATGAAGGGCAGTGAAGCTTTGAAATGATTGTGTACAAGAAGTCAATAAAAAAGTTCAGAAAAAAAACCCGACCAAACAATGACATGCCTCAGTTGACGTGAATTTCAATGCTCTACAACAACAACCGATATCCGACATGGGAGTACTATAGAGAGGAGACGGGACCTTGAAAGTCGAAGTAACATAATCTCGTACCTCAATAGGTGTTCCCATACCAGTGCTTGATGAGCCTGGATCATTGGAATAGAACTGTCCTTCTGTAATCCTCTCATTGTAATTTGAGGAATTAAACCTCGAAGGAACATTTTTGGGAGTCCAAGTCCTACATCTGCCACCTGTTCCCCATCCTGAAGCCAACCTAATTCCGAGAGACCTCAATTGCTCATGCATTTGTATACTTTTCTCTTCCTTTACATTGTAGACAAGAGACAAGTCTACCAGAGTCTCCCATCGGAGATCTTCGAGGCCATAGAGCACACGCCAGCAAGCCTTAGCTTCTCGAAGCTTCCAGGTGGAATTGCTGAAGAATGACGCAGCATCAAGGAACATATTTTTCTCTTGACTACCCAAACGGTCGTAAGAAACTCTCAATTTTGCCCATAACTGGTCATCCAAACTCACTACGTTTTCTGCTTCATCTAGAGCGTGGAAACACTGCATCCATATGCTTTCACTGACTTTCGTCTTTAGATACTTGCCTATCACCTCTAGGGTTAATGGTAGTCCATCACATTTCGCGACGATCTTGTGTACCCATTCCTTCAGTGAAGGACTCGGTTCGGTCGGATACGGAAATGCGTAGCTCATAAATAACTTTGTGGAGCTCTCGGGATTCAAGAATTTCACATCAAACACGCGTGAATCTAAACTGTTCAAAATGTTTCTATCTCTACAGGTAACAATGTAACGACTGTTTGCGCAATCGTTCTTCGAAACTATGTCCTGGAGAAATGCAACATGACTACCATTGTCAATGTCATCCAGAACAAGGAGAAGTGTTTGCTGTCTCAAATCAGTCGGTTTCCATTTTTCCACTCCTTGTGTAAGCTGTTTGCCAAGATGATGCATCGAGGAATACACTTTGTCTTCTATCTCCTTGGTATTTTTCATGTCCGTACATCTCGGAATGAAACAAGTGTATTCATATTCAGCACACAACTCATTGAACAACAGCTTTGCGAGAGTTGTTTTCCCTACTCCTCCCATGCCGCAAAGAGCAACTGCTGCTGGACCTGTGCGTAAAATGTTTTGAACCTCTACAAGTAAGTCAGAATGTAGGCTCATAGCCATTTTCGGCACCGTCTGGAGATTATCAGGAAGTCTTCTCCTGTTCACCTATATCCAATCACAGTAGCCAAACGCAGTTCAGATTTGTAGGTTAGGAAGAATCTCACTCAACTAGAATGAACTCTTGCTTGAAAGCCACAATTTGAAATCTTGTTGACAGGGATCTAGTTATCGACGGACGCCCACAATAAACTCGTGTCGTTTCTTGAACCTACTTTGGCTCTCATACATCTGAAAGAGGATCTCATGTGCTAATGTTTGCTTTTATTGAGGAACAATTGCTATTGCCAAGACAGAGTACATGTTCGTGTGCGCAACCTTATTGCTTTGCAGGAACGATGTCAACCGTATGTAAGTATTTGAAGTCCTGCTCTCGGGCTGGCAGAGAGAGATATGATCCTCAAGCTCCACAGTGAAGTCACCGTACCGAGCTGAAGCCTCAACTACAATCATCTCACGGCTAACTGCAACAGCATTCCGAGACTCTGCATCCTAAACTTCGGAACAGGTTGGAACAAACCACTGGTCAGACTAGTAATCTGAAAATCTTGTATGGTGGATGGATTTCCAAAAGTGAAACTGGGATTCGGCAAACTTCATGAAACCCATTGAGATCTATTGTGAGTGATATCCAAACAATCTCATAAAAGTACTGGGTTACAAACTATGATATTTTGAGGCAGAATTAATGCTGCTGTTTCAGCAGGTTAGAATCAAGAGGATAAAAGTAAAGAACAAACATGTCAGTCTCACACTCACTAGCATGAACGTAGTAGGTCTCGATTCTCCGACTCCAGCAATGCTCCACTTGTAGGACAAACGTAAAGCATCAAAATTTTCATGAAGGCGACCTGATTCTGCGCAAAGCAGCTTGACATAGTCGAGTAGAGGGCTAGCGTCCTTTAGTTTTGTTCCATTTGGAGTGAAGAATGATGAACTTCCATGGTGCGGCGTTCCATAGAAGAAAATTCCTGTGACGGAGTTGAGAAAGCGAGCTATTTGTTTGTCAGAGCGGTGCAAGCTTTCGCTGAAGTGTGCGTGGACGCACAATTGTTTGATCACAAGGCCTCCGTAACTATGACCGACAAGTATAACTGAACGCCAAGGATGCTGCCCCACCTTCGCAATTATAAGATTATGCATCAAACTTTCGGCTGTGAGGTAGAGGTCTAATCTTCCATGCTCTGCTGATGTCCTGATAGAAGCATCGTACTGGACAGAGAGAATCCGAGCTCCCGGAAACTCTTGCGGGATCCAGGTCTGCGGCCATACTTCCTTGTGAGAACCGCTTGATATCCATGTTGATAAGTGAGGTACAGAGGTGTGTGACGATTGTAGGCCGTGAAAGAATACAACGTCCAGCACCGATTCAACTCCTGGGTTGTAAAGTTCGTACACGGAGTCGCTTAACTGATACATCAGATGCAGATCAGATCAGCAATCAAACAACCTGGACCGATCTTACCTAATGCAGCTCTGAGATTCTTAGATTTCAAGACAAAATTGGATATAGCGCAAACACGTTCCAGAACTGCTAAACCCTAAACTGCTATACTGTACTTTGCATAGATTATTGCGATTTCCTTACCCTCGACGTGGAAGTGGCCGAACACGCAGGGGGCAGAGACATTGTATTTAACTTGCGGAATCGACGCCCGCCCGCTCTAGAAGCACGATGGAGAGCATGCGATATATTTGATTCTCCTCCTCGTCAGTAGAGACGCTAATACAAGTGCACGAAAATCACATTCCTCAGACGGAGCTTTGTGATGTCAATCAATCGAAATCCTCAATCCCTCCAGACTCCAGACCATCCCATATGTGCAAGCAGAAATTACCTTCTCTGCTAGATTCCTTCTTGTGTGTGGGTGAGTTTCCGAGTTTCCTCGGGAAGCCTTTTGGGCCAATGGTACGCGGTCCAGCTCACATAGACCAGTGAGCTTCAAAACCGTGCGTGGAATCGCGGAGTATCTTTTGACTTTTGAGTCATTCTCAGAAGGTTCTCGTTTGACTTTCCTATATTCAATAATTATGTACAAGAGTTAAACGTTTTAGCCTCGGGCAGCACACAGTCAAGGATCTTTAAAGTGGACTTGAAGATTGCCTTATCTTGCTTTCTCCGAAGTTCTCCAGCCGAGTGAATTCTGTGTAAAGAAGAAAGTGAAGCGGCAGCAAAGCACGCGGATTAAGGTGCGGAAAGGTCAAAAGGTGAAAACTGCAATTGCAGGAACAGCCGACAGGCTCGTGCACAGGAACAGGTCGGCTGCCTGCTAAATCCTCAAGCACTGTACCGATAATAGTCCGAGGCAATTTGACTCGATCGTATCGTTTCGTTCTTGTCAAACCAAATCCTTGTGTAACTACACAAGGATTTGAATTCCTTCAACGAATGACCTTGAATTCATTCTCCATTTACTGACAGATATCTGTGTACTCATGTGCACATGACAATTCCATGTCGGCAACTGTTGTCTGGGGGGATGAAGGACTTGCTCTGGTGTATGAGTCATGGTACAAAACACGACGCACTCGAACTTGGATGATTGCACCTGGGAATCTTGAAGCAGAAGGGCGTAAGCTTTTTGGTCGCTCATCAGAAGATGTCTACGGAGATCCTGGTTCACCCATGCTTCGCAGAACTTCTCTTGGAACGTACGTTCTTGCAGGTGTCAAAGACGCTGATGGCAAGAAGAGGCTGCTCCTGAATGGAAGTGGCGCGACCCCACATGGCAATATCCCTTTCTTGGATCTGCTGGAAATGTAAGAATAATATAAAATTTCATCATTGCTTAGGCCTTTGTCGCCTTCATGCTCATTCATGTAACAAGCCTGCTAGGAGAATTGTGAGTTCCTCCACCAGGGCTTTCTGATCTTTGCAGTCCAGTTATATCGGAGCCTCCGTTACGAACAGGGGACTTACCTTCGATACTTTTCTCACTTGTTTCAGTTGGTGGCTACTATCCTTACTATGTACGCTTTCCCCTCTGGTTCTAGTGTGGGCATCCAAGGCTTGACTGCAAGAAAGTAATAATTAAAACTCAGCGGTCCTATGATTTCTAAGTTCTCGTTGGTTTGGCAGCGAGTCAGGTGAAAAACAGCGAATCTGGGAAAGCTTGAAGGAGACTTATTTCGAGACAGTCGTAGCTTTGATGTCAGATCAGTTGGATGGAGATCTGGACCTGAACAAGTTACGTATTTTGGTCTCAAAGGAATCTCAAACCGAACCACCTCAGTATTATCTGCGATCCTGGCCTGAGCAAACTGTCTGTCAAATTACAGACTTCTCTCATCCGTATCCTCAAATAGCTAATCTGAAGAAGGAGATTACACGATGCGAACGGAGCGATGGTGTGCAACTTACAGCAAATTTGTATTTACCTCCAGCGTATGACCCGGCTACTGATGGGCCACTGCCACTGCTAATGTGGGCATACCCAAGGGAATTCAAGAGCAAAGATAACGCTGGCCAGATGAGAGGATCACCTTATAGTTTTGCAAGCATTGGATCTACTTCAGCATTGTTGTGGTTGGCTAGAAGGTAAGCAAGCCTAAGTGGTGAAGGCAGCAACAGAGGAAACTTTCTATGCTGTGGAATCCTTGGTTTTGTATTCTCATGTGCTTGAAATAATGTTTTCTGTTTGTTTCGGGTAGATTTGCTATTCCGGATGGTCCGACCATGCCCATCATTGGCGAAGGAGACGAGGAGGCCAATGACAGGTGAAATTCATCTTGTTTAGAGAATGGATGGCATAGTTTTACACGATTACCTGATTTTCAATAAGTAACGCAATTGGTTCTCGTGGAAACCATGTTTTCAAATCAACCATAGTGTATATTTAACTATCACAAGTCATAGTTCGTACATGTTCAGTAAGCTAGATGGTGTTTAGGTAATTCATATTCTGCTCAGGTTATGCCACTCTTGATTCTGCAATGAACTGCAGCATACCCAGAGATGTATGTCATTCTCTTGCTGAAGGAATAATCTCAAGAATGATTTGGATATTGTGAAGTAAATATGGAGCCTTTGTGCTTGACTGCAGGTACGTGGTCTATCGTAATTTACTCGCAATTGTTCGCTTAGTGACGCTGCATATCATTTACCTTCAGCCGGAGCCCCGATGTCACAAGGTATTTCAGTCCTCCAACCATGAAAGGAAGACAAATCGGCACTCGGATCTCGCTAATATCGGTTAGACGGCCACAGTGGAGGTGGTTCCTCATCTGAGTCAAAATTGATTGTGCTGATCTCAGAGTACTTGCGAAACCGACGCGATGACATCAGAGACGGAAGTAAGTACTTGCGTGCGTGCGTGCGCGCGCTATCATTCGAAAAGATTCACTTCGGCCCCGAGCCTGGTATGGTGGTATAGGATAACGGGCTGAGTGTATATGAGGAAGGGGCTGTCCAGAGCAAGAACGCAAGAACTTGTAAAGCAGACGCACCGAGTGAAGAGAAGAATGCACAGATTTTCCAATGCGAGCATTGGAAAATCTGCTGCAGATCAGAGTGCAGGACTCGATGCTGGAGAGGTAGGCAGGCAGGCAGGCAGACGTGCGCAGCATTTCTATTCTCACGTAATAGAAATTCCATGGCGGATTGTAGCCACCTCGTGCATGTAGGGCGTGGACCCTGAGCCTGAGCCTGAGCCGCGGCATTCTTCATGTCGCTTTCGATGGACTGGCTGATTTGTTGGGCCCTCTGGTCATGAACAAACTGTAAGTTCACTCGTTGGACCCGAATCAGGGACAGTGATGATGAATAAATGCCGAGACGAGACGGACTCGGGAGAGAACTGTATGAGCTCACCCAGCTGACCGGCTTCGGGACTTTCTGCCACAAGCGTGCTTCAGCTCTCTCCCTCTCTCTCTTCGTGACGCCGTCACATGGACATAAAGGCCATAAGAGTTTCCAGAGTTGGTGGCGTGTCTGGCACAAGTCATGCACTGAGGGAGGGAGGATGTTGTTCCAGTGATAGTCCAATCCAATTCATGGCCGGGTGTGTACAAGGGAAATGTATGCCTTTCCCAAATGTGTGCATGCGTGTGTCTACTACCAACTAAATATGGTACCAGTCGAGTACCAAAGTGCGATGCGATTGATTCCATCATCCCTTGAACTAAGGTGATGGCAATTCAGTCAGCCCATGCCTCGAGTCGAAGTGGAGGAACTGCAGGCAGCTCTTGATATGGCCCAGGATCTCCCACGAGTAAGAGCAATCATGTTTGATGAAGTGCAGATTTAGGGTCTTTGTCTGAAAACCAAATCCCGAGGATTTACAGCTATCGTCATTTCTTTGCGAGTTTTTATAAGAGACGGAAGTGTTCTGGTCAGAACGCAGCAATGACATTATCTTGATCGCAGACATTGGTTCAGGTCCCGAATTTGATGCAGCTGCATGCACTGGTGGAACGGCTGAAGAACGTGGGGAAGTGCTTGAAGTGGGAGTAACTCAGTATGGAGATCTACATCTTCAAGTTTTGAATACTTTAGTGTCGATTGGTTCCGAGTTTCCAAATCTTCGCGTGCTCGGAGTTCGAGGTGAGATAGCGTGTTTCTTCAACTTCTTCTACATGCTTTTTGGTTGCTTCTGCCTCCAGCAGTTTTTGTACGTCAATTCACCTCGAGTTATTGTTGCAATACACATTGAGAGGCCTGCGAATTGCTGTTTCGTTCTTGTCCTCTTTATACTTTCTTCTGATATTCGGAACCACCTTATCGTACTCAAGAAGTAACTCCTTTACTTTACTCAGCTGAGGAATTCATTGTTCCATTTAGCCTTCCCATGGTGCATCGTGAAGGGTCCCTCTAGTAAGTGAAGGTCACTTTATGGACCCTTCACTTAATGGAAAAAGACGATTGTGGTGCATTCCAGAAGCCGGAGAAACGTCATTGAAAACTAAAAATAAAATTTCATCACGGGCTTCTGAACCTTCAGCAGAAAAGGTTTATCGTTTATTAAACCAACATCAGTACGAGAATAACGTCTTTGGAATACGTGGAGTATCACTCACGCACGACAGAATTTCCAAGCAAATGTTCTGACAAGCATTTTTGACTTTATTTTGCAGTTGATGGTAATTCCATAGACGCGACCTTGAACTCTTCAGGACGCCTTCGGGATGCCTTAGACAAGTCATTAGCTTCTGTGGTGGTATGTACCTTCTGGTGTGCGTCAGAGCTTACCACCTAAGAGATTTTTGCTAGTCATGAATGAAGTTTTTGCTTTTTCCAAATTTCCGAACTGTTGCGTATTTCTTGCTCCGAATTGCTGGATAAACGAACTCATCTGTCTGTGATTTGTTCGTAAGAGATTCCTTAACTTGGCTTTTATGTACAACGCTTTTCAGAAAGTCGACGTTAAGCAGTTCGTCAAGAGTTTGCAGTGTCATCACACCAAGCCTGATGCATCTTTCTGTGGTAAGTCTCCAGTGTTATGTGGACCATGATTATGCTGACTCCTAGTAAATGAAGGGTGTGTATGAATCAAGAGCAACTTTCAGCCTTTTTCAAACTCGCGTTATTTTCTAGTTTTCCTCGACCCATGACCGTCGGCATATTGTTTGTGCAGGAATTGCTCCGAATGATGGCTGCTTGTTGATTATGCTCCAATATTTCATTCCTGGAACGAGGCAGACTGATAACTCTATCAGCCTGCATTACAGATTGCCCGTGCTTTTAGATGGTGCAAACTAGCTCTTATATGTGGAGAATGCCCATAACAAATGATTTAGACAGGGCATGATACCAGTCAATCTTGATTGTGAATCGAATGTAAATATCCGCCATACTACATTTTTTTGAACTGCTTTGTTTTGCTCGCTCAAAATGATGGTGTACCTGGTTTTTGTCTCATGGAATCCTTGTTA